TTGTTTTTGTTTTTTTATATATAAATTTGATCTGAGTGCCTTTTTTTCCATTTGAGTGTGTTACTGATGCATACTTAGGAATTTAAATGAATCAGTGATGGTTATGGGATGGTTATGGGTGGAGATGGAGATGGGTGTCTTGTGAGTGGGTGAACGAGAAAAATCAACTAAGAGTTCCTCTGTTTTTGATGCATTAAGCTGTAGGTTGTTACTTTGGCACCAAGTAACTACTTGRGTTACCTGTTTGCGATAGTGCTGTTCATTATTTAGATTAGATCAGATTAGATTAGATTAGAGTTACTTTTATTGCATCGTACACAGAGCACAATGAAATTACAGTTTAGAACACCCATTCAGAAGAAGACAACATAACAAACATGGGAGAGCAGTGGCCCTGGGTCATACAGCCACAAACCCCAGCACAGAGCAAGGATCATCATCATGAAGACATCACGAGGAGGCGCTACCCTTAACAGAATAACTAAAAACCACACAAGGGAAGATGAGGAAAAAAAATAAAAAAACATCATATAATATCAGCACTGTGACACACTATGGTGTTTATAAAAAAACTTCCTCATAGAGCACATTTATTAGCCAGAGAAGTGAGTTTAGGGGGTCGTGTATCTGAAGCATGAATGTTGAATGCTTGTGTGAATATCTGAAGAATGAGCCCGAAGAATCCAGTCCCCAAAAACAGTGCAGCCATAGTTCARAATATTGATGTTAACTGTTCATTCTGWACGCCCTTCAGCTTGCTCCAGGAGCCAGATCACAGACGAGTGTGAGAGGTGGGGAAGTGTGAGGCAGAGCCTCAGTCGACGTAATCGAACCAGGAAGAATTTAATCAACAGCTCAAGGCCATGTAGGGGAGAGCCAAATCTGTAATCAGTTGTTTTGGGAACAGAAGAGTCAGACAGACGATAACAATTTTCCATCTGCTTCAATGTCTGCTGTTACATCTTAAGGTGGCGAATCCAATCAGACAAATAGTGTGGACAATTCCGCCCAGCAGTACTATCAGCTTCTCCTAGATCAGTTCCATCTGGCCAGCAAGGTCCAGGGACCACAGTCTGCCCGCGACCCTCAACAGAACCGCTTGCAGACTGARTCCAGCTYGCTCAAGCCAAAAGTCTGAGTGCTGATAGAACGGCAATCCTTCATATTGGTCAGGCAGCCAGGAAATGAACAGCCACCGATATTGTTTTGTAGAACACCAGGAGACCACCAAGCCAATCTGTAGATTCCTGTGATCAGAATCCAAATATATATAAAGAACAGAGAAGAACAGAGGTCCCACCTTTGACATGTCCTCCCATGGAAGAAAAAACTTTGTTCCAAAAAATTTGTTAAGAGACCAGCTAACCAAATCCATAAAAATATCCATACTTTCTGGTTTCAGATGAAAACGTAGAGAAGGCTCCAAGCAGCAAAGCAGGGAAGATAAGGAAGGATAGGAGAGAAGGAAAAAGCGTCTTACTCCTCCGAGAGCAGAACAAAAAAAATTTAGCGACGTGTCATCTGCACACTTAAAGGGATCCCCGATTAGTTGTAACATTAGACTTTATACGATAAACATACACTCACCGGCCACTTTATTAGGTACACCTGTTCAACTGCTCGTTAACACTTAATTTCTAATCAGCCAATCACATGGCGGCAACTCAGTGCATTTAGGCATGGAGACATGGTCAAGACAATCT